TTATCTCAATACAATTCTTATATTACATAATAATATACATGTATTATCATACACATGAATAGTCTTATTTAATTGTACTTCTATATATATATATATATATATATATTCGACCTAAAATACTATGAATATTAATTATTATTCTGAAAATAAATGAATAGTATAATATTCACAGTATTATAATTCTCCAAAATTGTAAAAAATTGACAAAAACCTATCTTCAAATTACGCTACAATAAGTGATCATTATTATGAATTATTATTTTGTATAGAGAGGCCGTTTCCAATATCTTTCTGAAGCGCAAACAGGGTCTATTTCACAGTACCATTACTTTTGAAGAAAATATGTTGTAAAATATTTGGTACGATTATATGTTGGCTGTACCATAAAGAAATTATTTGATAGTTGATACTTGATAGTATCACATGGGAATTATAATTTTAGCACTGATAGCATATTTCAGTATAGGTAACCTCTTTAAGTTTCAATATTCTAACATGTTTTGTATCAATAAATATTTTACTTTAAATAATGTCTGGAGAATATTAAATAATAATAAAACATAATATTTTAACATTAAATAAAAGTATTATAACACTAGGTTAGGTAGTAGAGTACAATTTTAATTTATAATGGAAAATTAATTTTTTTTTAAATTTTACCTATAGAAATCTGGGCTAATATCTCTAATACGGCCAGTTGTATCTTGTAATGGTGCAGCCCACCAATTGTTAGAATAAACTTGTATTCTCCTTCCTGGACCTGAAAGTTAAAAGAAATGTTGAGATATATAAGCTAAAAGGATGCCACACCTGTATGTATTGTTCTTGTCTTACAAACGAACAACATAGCAAACTTTACTCTCACAATAATCCATTTTACTTGGTTATTTTTAAAATTAGAGTAAAATTTACCTAATAGGTTAGATGAAGGTTACTACCGAGACTGTTATTGACATTTTAATTTAAGCGCAAGTTATGAGCATTTTAAATTTAATATATTGTATATCTTAAAATGATCATAACTGTTTTAAAATTAAAATACCTTTATGATATCTCCGTGATGTCCTAGAATTTAGATAATAATCTTACTTTTAAATTTTATAATAAGTCAATTCAATATAATTTCAAAAATAATAGATTGAAATGAGTATTGAAAGTATAAATTTTGCAATGTACATTAATTGAAAGACAGAGCCAACACATGGGACACTTAACAAAATTATAATAAATACCGTAAGTTGGTCCAAATAAATCATTAGATATGCTATCCAGTCCAATAAATGACGTTCCATAACTTCCATCACTGCCAATATTCAAAAGAAAATTCATATCAGTGAAAATTGTAGACAAAACATAAAAATTATTTTAGTTATTTGATTCGTTTTATATACAGGATGATTCTTTTATCGTTAAAAACTCATTATTTCAAAAAGTATTGACTTTTTTCAAATTTTAGTTCCTGCTTTTCTACATTAATTGTAAATGTCTAATATTTTTCACCCTTATTCGGTAAACCACTATTAACAATAGATTTTCAAATGACAACCTGTAATAAAAATTTCATAAACTAATAAGACTATTAGTTGCAGGGTGTCACACAGTTCTCACTGAAGGTGATGTGGAACTGGTCATTATAATATTTATCAATTATAAATACCAGAAGTTAAAAGTAATAAACTAAATATCGTTCGAACCCAAGGTATAATAGTGATAATCATTTTATCTACCTCGCTACAATAACTTATTGTCATAATATCATATTTTAAGTAATTGGACATTCTGTCACATATAGCATATTCATGTGTAATTCCCATGGCCCTACTACATACCTTTGAACATAGAGCAAAACAGTGATATCTGATTAGGCGGATTTGCAATTTTTATCGTCTTAGATCATATACAAGTATAATAATAGTATATGATCTAAGATTATCGTACTAAATGTGGATTATTGATTGTTTAAGGTTATACCCAAATAGAGGATTTGAAAGATAGAAGTTCAGGGTCTTTAAAATGTTATGTAATACCTAGTATATTTCACTATGAAATATGTAAATTAGTAAAATTAGTCCTATGTAAAAACAGTTTATAATCATAATACATATTATAATGTACTAGATGAATTTGATATTATTTCAATTTTTCATTAATTAAAAGGGAGATTTGATGGGTAACTTTGTGATTTCAAATGGGAATCTACATTTTTGAAATATATTTCATGTATGGTTTAATTTTCAATGAATTTTGATTGGGCATTTACATTTATGTGTCAATAATTACTAAAAGATCTATTGACATCTGATGAATTATGCTTTTTGAAATAATGAGTGTTCAACGATAAAAGAATCACAATATATAGTAGGATACTTTAGAAACAAATATTTTAATATACAAAACACCATTCAACTTTAATATGTGTAGTATATTATAGAGACAGTTGGCATTCAGGTGATTTAACATAATATATTTGAGCAAACAATTTAAAAATAATATTGTCATATTTTATTGATATTTTTAATTTTCTGCAATGTGTCCTAGCATTATTCAATCAATGCATTTTTCCTATCGTTTTAACAGACTATAGGAATCATTCATGAATTCCACTAGTATTATTAATAATATTATATAGGTAATATATTTTTTAATTACATATTTAAAATTTTATTACACATTTTTAATCTAGGAATTTCAATGTACAATAAATGTGTAGGTACTACGATTTATATGATCCAAATTACACCTGCCATGTATTTTTACGCAGTTGCTTGCAAATTTAATATTGTCAGTATTTTATATTTAGCATCTTATTCAGTGTTATTTTCTATTTTAATTTGTTGTAGTACACCATTATTACTTTAGAGGTATTTAGATTTGATGAATCCATCTTTGGTATTAATACATAATACATAATAATTAATAAAAATAATATTATGACTTCTTGTTCATCAATATTTGATAACAATGAATATTTGTTTATTCACTGATATATTTTACAACCATATAGCATTTGATAAATCCTGTATTGTAAAACAATTTTGTCTAATCATAACACATTAAACTTTATAAATTTAAACACATGTTAAGAGGCTCACTAAAACACTTTGATTTTCTTAAGCAAGTACATAAGTAATTCGCCCAATTATATTAATATTAATATTTTATTATTATTTTTATTAATTATTATTTATAATATGATTAAAATAACGAAAAAAAGTTTGCTTCTATACTCTATTCAAAATAAAAATACACCAGTTCCCGAACGTGGTTATGATATGCTTGTATATGAGAAACATGAACAATCGTCCGCCACCTGGTGTTCCAACTCGTATTCTGAATGAGTAATAAGTATAGGTAATTTTATAATAAGTAGATCATTGACACATTTTTAACGAATTAAAATATTATAATCTATCGATACTTTAGATTATATATTTAATGCCAAATAATAGAAAAAGATGTTAAATAATCATTAAATAATAATTAAAAACTACTAGTATCTTACCTGTTATTATCTGATCTGGATTCATCAGATCTAAAAAAACAAACATAGTAATATAGTAATAAATATATTGTAAATATAAATAGTATAGGTAATCTTGTCATATGCGGTCTGCCTTACATTACTATACATCATGTGAAATCTACAACTTGAATTTTATATTTAATTAAAATATCAAAAAATACCGTTAATGAGGTAACTCCAGACTTACTGGGTAAATTCGGAAAAAAATAGTTTTTTATTTATATTGGATCTTTTGGATAAGGGAATTGATAAATTGAGAACATTATTGCAAAATATTATAGGAAAAATGATACATTGATCGATATTAACTAACTCTAAATTACATAGATAATATTATCAATTGAAAATACTCTATTGTTTAATTAAAAAATGATACTAGTCACAAAACATTGTGTGTTAATGTTATTGAATGGTTTTTAATGTTTTTGTTAACTTTGTACACTAGAAATAAGAATCAATACAAGAAAATTTTAAAAAATCTAGGAAGTGGCATTGATAATTTAAAAAAAGTGGTATCTTAAATGTAACTTCTGACACAATTGATTTAGAGCGTAACAATAATTACAAGTTTTATTTAGTTCTTTAGTTATATAATATGAATTAGTATTAATTTTCTTAAATTTTTTAATTTTTTAATTCAACATATTTTTTTTAAAGATTTCTATCAATAAACCGACTTTTATTTGATTTCGTTTTTATATGAATTAGAATTTGTAAATTTCTATTATTAAAATGTATTTAACAAAGTTTAACAAAAAAATGTTTTGTTCAACATTAATAAGTATTTTTTAAAAAAATTGAAATATAGTCCGGCCGGAGATAACAGCTATAATGATATAACATTGTTTTTCTATGAATTTATATGGGTGTCCGTTGTTACCCCATTTTGCTGTTTATATAGAAGTTCAAATAAAACGAATATAATTTTTGGAGTTCATAATTATTTTCTTACATGACATTGTATTGAACATTTTTTAAAGACTTTTAAATTCATTATTTTCAGAAATATTCGAAAAAAATAATAAATTCTGTCCGGCGTTACCCCCATTTTACGGTACTTAATTAATATAGAAATAATATTAAAAATATATTTATATATATTATCTAGTAAAACATATCATTCAATAATACACAAACGCATAAGTCGCATTATATTATTTAGTTATTAAATTCCAAACACAATAATTTTTTTTTAAATTTTTTATGATATTACAATATGATTTGATGTCTATAAGAAAACATTCAAATGAGTCATCTTTATGGTTTTTTTAAGAAAATTTTCCTTTAAAAATATATCATAGTATTTTTCTCTGACTAAATATTTAAGTTGACAATTTTTTCTAACAGTAAATAACATAATTAACAACTTTGATCAGGATAAAGTTTAATCGTTGACTTGGTAGATGAAAAGTGTACGGTAGACCGTATACGACAAGAATACCACATTATATATCAATGTTTTAAAATAATGTGTTTCTTACAACCTTCTATAAACATTATATGTTTTGTGGACGCCCATAGCATCAAAAGAATGATAAATATCATGGAAAGTTGCGTGACATAGTGGACAAAAATTTTCTCTCTAAATTATAACATACAAAAACATAACCGTTGTGATTAAGACTTTTCAAGAAATTTCTAATTAATCCAGTTAATTATTTAATTATTTGCATTAAATCAATAAATCAATAAATTATATTAGATTTTTTTGATTGTACTAAATAAAGACTTCAGACGATTAAAATTACATTTTCTCTGAAGTTAAATTTAAATTCAGTATTCTTACTTTTTAAACTATTATGGTCCCCTTAATACAAATATAAATTACCGAGATAACATTCATTGTTCGTTAAAATATATGGTATTAATAATTAAAGTAAATGTCTTAACAAATTAAATTTACTTAACTTTCATATTTATAAGAAGAAAAAAACAGTATATTACAGTCAAATTCTATTTAAGACATTTTTTATGCAACATTATATAATTAACATTAACAACTAGGTAATAATTATTTAAGTTTAACTAAAATTACATGTGCCCATTGTCGTATGCATTCAAAACAGAATGAATGTAAACATGAATCAGTATGACTAGGATTGGTTAATTCATCAAGACAAACTGAACATTGTGTTTCTGGTGATGAAGGGCGTGCAGAAGGTCCTGTATTAATGGTGGCTATTGTTTCTTCCTCATCCGATGAAGACTCCTTTATAATGTTAGGTTCTGACATATTGAATCATAAATTTCAATTCTAAAATAAAGAACAAAATAAATACCTAAATTAACAAAATATTTTTAATTCTAAATTTTATAAGAGGGCAATTATGATTTAACAAGGCTTAAACATTGACGGTTTTCCAATTTCTAAAGCTTCCAAAAGTATATTTTGGCCAATTTTATTGTCAATTGTTAATATTCCTTGTATGTCAAAACTAGTTATTCCTATAGGTATTTATTACAGTAATAAAAAAAAACCTCATTTTATAGAAACTTTTTTGACACCTTTTATTGATGAACTTCAACTAATTTTAAATTATGGTATTCAAATAGAAAAAATACATTTTGGTTTTGCGTTAGTTCAAGTGATTTGCGATGCGCTGGCAAAAGCCTTTTTATTAAATGTTAAAGGTCACAATGCTTATTTTGGCTGTAATATGTGCACTGAAGAGGATTCTTATGAAGGTCGAATGATATACTTGGAAGTGAATTTGTCTTACAGATAATAGTTTTCGTCTAATAATTGATGATGATTATCATAAAGGTTTTTAAAATTTGGAACGCTTACCAATTGATATGGTATCAACTGTTACATTAGATTACATGCATGTTGTCTGTCTTGGAGTGGTAAAAAAACTTTTTAAAGTTTTAGGTTAAGGGAAATAAACCAAATTAGATGTTATAAATTCTAGTATCGAAAATGTACAAACATATTATATTCCTTCTGATTTTATAGATATAGTCCTTCTAGGGTAATTCTGTATATTTGTCTTGTACACAGGGCCAATAGTTTTAAAAGGCAAGTTAAAAAAATCCTTATATTCCAATTTTATGCTATTGCACTGTGCTATTCAACTTATAGAAAGTCACAATACTTGTTATTTATTTAATGATGAAGCAAAAGTATTATTAACTAAATGTGTTATTGATTATCCTATTCATTATGGTGCTGAATTTGTGAACTATAATGATCACAATTTGATTAATTTACCTGACTGTGTAAAATTACACTGACCTCTTGACAAATTTGGTGCCTTCAAATCTGAAAACTTTTGCAAGACATAAAAAAAAAAACTAAAGAATTCGAGGATTCCTTTACAAGAAGCTTGTGATCGATCAATTTTTTAAAAATGAAATTCCAATGCAACAATCAGTATTTAATCCTTTTTTTTACATATTATAAGGAAGTAAAAGTAAATAGTAGCTTATTCAATTGTAATAAAGTTAAAGACAAATATGTTATGTAAACTTGTAATACAATTGCTGAAATAAAACAAATTATAAAAGCTTCCGACAAACAATTATTGTTTAATATTTGTAAATTTAATCATATTTATCCATTGTATTCAACCCCTGTAGACTATAATGAAACCAATATGTTTTGTGTAAATATTCTTAATGTATCTGAACCTGTTAAAATTAACTTGTCTGATATAGTATTCAAATGTTTTATTATCAAAATATCAAAATCTAAAGCTATTGTTATGACATTATTACACTCCTTTGAATAATGTATTTAAAGTGGGATAACAATAAATCATTAAAATATAATAAATACATTAATTTGTATGTGTTATCAAATATTTTTAATATTGGTAGATTTTTTTATTTTTATTGGGGTATATAATGTTAATATGCTATACAACTATAAAATTTCATAACTCATAATAATGACATACCTACAATCTTTATAGTTATTGTTAGATATTTGTTTTTTCTTTCTAAGTTTAGTTGTTATTCATTACAGGATTCATTTACTAAATTATTCTGTTATTTTTCATTTAAATATTATTAATACAGCTAATGGATGACAATTTACAATTGTTATATCGAACGATCAATTTGTAGTTTTTGAGTATTTACTAGAGCATTATAAGTATACCTATTTTATGATTTTTTTTTAACTTTTATTATTTTATATAACACATTTTTTTAATTATATGTATGATAATAGTTATATTGTAACAAGATAGTTAAATCATTATACTTAAATATTAATTATATTACAAGATTTATAAATTTATTTCTTTGCTTATTCATAGTAAAAATTGTTATTAGCTCATTAAACCTGTTTTTTCTATTAATATACCTATTCAAAACTGAAAAAGTATAAGTATTAAGAATGACTTGTAATGTAGGTATGTATTATATCAACAGATTGGTTGAAAAGTGTCTATTTAAAGATGTTACAATGTGTTATTGTAAGGAAATAAAAATTATAATTCCAAGGGAAGTTGCACTTTGAACTTCCTTTTAACATAACTGTTACATATCTACAGTATGTAAATAAAATATCAATATTATAGAAGTTTCAACGGGTAGTTGGAGGGAAGTTCAGATTAAACCTCAGATTTTCACTCTCGGTGACTTGGCATTAGCATTGCCAGCATGGTCCCTGTTAAAAATTTTAAACTTTACAACATTATGTATAACTTCTATGTGATAAACCTGAGTTGTGTTTTTGCGCAGTGTGCAGTAGGTAGATACAAGTAACTTGCATTTGCCCATTTTGAAATTAATTAATTCGAGACTGTCTTGGTAAGTTTTTAAAAAATAGTTACAAATTTAAAAACAAAAAATGTGTAACATAGGTAAATAAAAACTGATAATGTCACCATATGATAAAGCCATCAATATTCGAGTTTGTCTAGAGGCTTACTAACTGTGAGCGCTTATGACTAAACGAATGGTACAAAGAGCTAACAATAAGCGGAAGGCGGCAGTACTCAAAGTAAATAATTGCCAGTGTCAAAAGCACCCATTGTAATACGTGGACGTCCGCTTCGGCCACAATATAAATATTGAAATAATATCGCATAAACAATAATGTGTAAACAAAACGATAACCCGAAAACGGAATAACCCGCAGCGAAAGAGGTTGTCGCTAACCGCTAACCACGACTTACCATACACGTCCGCAGAACAGAAGATGGCGAATCGGCGTTGAAATGAGCGCGGACGGGTTACTACACCAGACAGTCGCGATGGCGTTGTTCGTAACTCTCACTGATCGCCACCGAAATATGTTCCACGGTCGCGCGTGTGCAGTCGATCTTGCCGATGAGCCTCCTCGCGAACACAACGATAAAAGTACAAACCGATCGCGTAAGTCGAGCAGTTTTCCGGCCTCGCACTAATATTCCACAGGTGGCGTTTACGTGAACCAACGCGTACAGGTTGTCGGCGGCCGGCGACGGTCTCGACACGAAAATGTTAGGTTAGGTCACGTCGAACACGATGTACGCTTATCATTGATATCAGCCGCGCTTCTATGAAGTGAATCGTAACTGACTATCGATTTCAATAACATCGATAGTAGTATGAAATAGCGGTTCTGGATACCCCCCTGCTTCACCCTCCCCGCAGCATAGTCATCCACCTCACCCACTCACCCAGCCCACAATGTGTCTCCCACCCTACAAACCCTACACAGAGACTCCCTGCTACTCCTTGCGCTTCCTTGCGCTTGCCTACGTCATCATGAGCCTCCCTGAGCCTTTCTCCCTCCCCACTCCCCCCTGTACTACGTAATCCTGCGACTCGCTACCAACACTCCCTCATAGCTATACTACGTCATCCTGCGAATCCCTCCCAACACTCCCCCAACTTATCCCACGTCATCATGGGCCCCTGAGAGTGCCTATAATATTTATATATACCACAGTATATACGTATATGTATTAAAGTATATACTCTATACATACTATAGTTTATACGTAGGTATATATAATCTAAGTCTCTAAACATAATTTAGCATATACCTATATAGTATATTAGTACCATTCATATAATATATATACATACCTAATACAGTATATACTCTATGCGAATATATAGATATATTATATATATAGTAGGTAATAGCACAGAATAAAACAGAATGGACACTGATAACAAATTATATGGGTAGCATAGGACAATAATGAAATCAGTCAGCCATTTAATTTGAGGTATAATTGAAGTTAGTAACAATTTATTCCATCATGAAACGGTAGTAATATTCTTTATAAGCTACCGCGCATTTTCGAATGTTACTAAGAGTAGTATTATTTTTCAAGGTATTATGTGCAATTTGAGTTTGAGATTTGGGGGGATTATAAGTCTTATACTATGGCATGATCATGGGTTCAACCCTCAACCCCCCATCATTACCAAAAAAATATACATTGTGTTTTTGTAAATATATTACAATTGTATTTGTAAATTTACTACAACAATGATTTGCATTTTATAGTATTATATCGATATATCGATATAAACGTTTTTAATATACATAAAAAATGTATATAAATACCTGTATACTATTTAATCATCGATGAATCTATTTTATACATTTTTTTTTGAAACCCTGCACATGGGCTTGTATTATGGTAGTCATACTATCTAAAAAATGATCCACAGGTAAAAACTTCTTGGTTCCCACTAGGTCATCATTTCAAATACGAGTAAATCACACTGTTTGGTAGATCACGTATTAAACAATTACTGTAATTAATAATTGTCTTTAATAACAAGTTCAATAAATATAAAATTTTCAAATGTACTAGGCAATAGAACATATAATTTCATTGAGTAACAAACATATAAATTTTGTGTATGTGTGATTTATTTGTACATTAACACGAATACAATTATTAATAAATTATCACAAAATAAAAATTATAAATCAATACATAGGTATATAATACATAAATACATAAATATTACAACTAAAATACAATATAATTAGTGACAATACTTATAATTGTGTGTTACTGTTTATTATTTATTATAATATATACAATTATACAAATTAATAAAAATATAATGATATATTATACATTAAAGGTGGGATAAAATACCTAATTTTCTGTTTTTTCTTGTTGTTGATAACATAGTTTTATTTAAGTTTTTAATGGTATGAAATATTCTTAAACGGATATATAGTTTTTTAAGAAATTCAATATCAAAATTGGGACAAGGATGATTTAAAGGCACATTGTCCAATAAATTTTTAAGTTTTTTCCCAACATTGTCTTGTACTGCTAATAAAGGAAAATTGTTAATAAATATATCATCCAAATCATTTATATAATTAAGAAACTGATCGGTTGGTACATTTAATTTTCCAAAAGTGGAATCAGTGGAATTAGCTTCACTATTTGTATATGCTTTAAAATATATAAATAAAAGTGATTGGTCTAATTGGTTTTGATTTGTAATATAATTTAAACACATCTCACAACTATGTCTTTCCATACACTTTTTAATAAAATAGCCACAAACATAGGCAAGTGCATTTCTCTCTGGAAAGCATAACTCACGGTAGTCAACAGTCCCAACTTTTAAATGTGAAAAGTTAAAAGGAGTTTTTTCTGGAAATAGTGCATGGCCATTATTTAAGGGGGGTGAAATATCTCCAATATTAGTCAATATGTCGTTCAAGTCATCCAAACAATTAGATCCACTTGAATGTTTAAAATAGTTCATAAAAAATATTTTTTTAAAACTGAAGAAAAATTGTATTGGGGTTGGGTTTACACAATTTCCATTCTGGTTCCGGAAAGTTCCAAAAAGATTCTCCAAGCAATCTTGATTTAAACGACCTGTGTATAAGATATAGGGCTTACCTAATTCTTTGGTCATGTCATCCCATAATTGTAGAACAGAACTAATAGTTATCTTCCAGCCATTTAAAAATTTTACTCGTGATGTAACATCTACTTCAACCATTTTTCCATTTACAATTTGTTTTTGAATAATCTTCATGTTTGTAAATTCTTCTAACATGAATTGTAAATGTTTTCTCTGGTAATCAGCATTTCTGAATGGTTGATTAAATTCTTTATTCCCACGGCTAGGTTTTGAATTTAGTAAATCGAATAATTTGTCCATGTTATCAATAAATTGAACAGTACCATTAGCTAAACGAGGTAAAGTACCGCCTTCAATACAGGTTTTCATACCAGCTGCTACAGTAGCACTAAACGTTTGGCTAGCATATCTTACTTTCATTTTCTGAAAGGCACCAGGATTAATGTGAATATCTGTTAATTTAGGGGCTAATCGATTTAAACCTTGATCTGATTTGTAGAATTGAGTAAGGTATTTTTTATCTGTTATGCTGTTTAAAAATGTTAAATTGTATTTGAAGAAATTATTTCTGGTGGACTTTAATAAATGCGGTACGTCAAATATATAAAAGATTTTTTTTCCATTGACAAAAAAAAAAGGTCGTTGACTTGACACATTCATAGTGTTTGCAAAACTGGTAAAATTGGATCCTTGGTCAGTTGTTACAGCCTTAATATTTATTGATATACTTTGAAGTTTTGTAATTACATCAAAGATGGTATTTTGAAGATCAATCCCAGAACAACTATTGTTTATAAAATAGTAAGCGACAGGTTGTTTCCACTCATGATTTAAACTTCTCAACATAAAGAACAATACGTGTTTTGCTAGTTCGTAAGTCTTTGTGTTATTTGAGTTATTGAATCCTATTATATAATCCTGGGATAATTTATAATATAAATGGGACTTAATAGACATTTCGTCAATACACAAAATACAATCCTTCGCATCATCCTTCATATTTTTTATCTTTAGGTCCATCGTTTCAAATAAAATATCATTTAATCCTGGCCTTAGTTCTATTTGTTCTGTAATTCTACGTAATGTTCTGGTACTAGGTAATTGTAAAATAGTTTTTAAAAATCTATATGCTTGAGGACCAAAAAAGTATATGGAAAGAGCCAACTGCTTTATCTGATTACAGTAACGTATACCTTGTGATTTCTTCTTGGCCATTTGCACATAATGTTTTACTAGCATAGATAAATTTGCAGGTAATTTGGAATCACAAGCTTGATAAAAATGTTGATCTGACGACACAATGTCTTTTACCTGATTGGAAAGTGTTTCAAATTGTTCCTCTAATTGCTGACATCTATTTCTGAGCTCTTTAACTTCCACTTTGAGCTTTCGTTTCCTGGGAGTGTTTAGTGACAAGAGCTGTGTTGTTTGGGAAGATGTTGAAAGTCTCAAAACTGGTGATGTCCCAGATTCATTACCTAAAAAAATTATATTATTATTTATTAGTCCATTATCTATAGACATAATTAATAGTATAATTTGTTTGCATGTTTTGCATTTTATTATGAAACAAAAGGTTAGGTATATATAAATTATAGTAAACTTACAAGTAACAGAAATCGATTGATTTTCTTTGGATGGTGTACTTGTGGCAACTGATGAATCAAAAATTGTTTCATCAAGACAATTGTTACCCACTGTTGAATTGTCTAGTCCAATTTCTTCGACAGATACATTATTACATTCCTCTACAAAAATAAATTAAATTAAAATTACATGCAACAAAATTAAATCAAAATTAAAATTACCAAATTCTGTAGGAACTGCCTTTGGTAATAGTCGAGACTTTTCGGCACTTGAAAACATATTATCGTTAAAATGGTTTAAACAAACACGATAGTACTTAGTTAGTACATCAATCGATTTGTTCAGCAAATCTTGTCGACCACAATTTATTAACCATTCATTACAGCTGTAAAGTTTACAAACATTTTACTAGTTAAAACCACAAATGAGCATTATTAGCACAAACTTACCGAAGCACATCCTTGGGAACACTAAACAACCTGCATCATTTTGTTTTTGTTGTCCTTTTGGAATTAATGCAACTCTGGACTAAACACAACATAACCATGATGACAATTGTTGTCTAACAACGAAACAATAGTCTCACTGTATGCAGAATAAAGTCGCTAAGTCAGACAGAATAACATATAACAGATAACTAATTAGTATTAGTATACAGAATTACAGAAAGTAAAACCACAGAATAAAACCACAAAGTAAGTATGTAAGTAAAATCACAAAGAATGCCACAAAAGTACAAAATTGAAATTACAATTAATAACGGATATCAGTTATCACTGATTATAATTTGATAACAAAAGTACCACAATTTAAATGGCCGCTGATTTCGCTGCCGCCGTGTTGTGTCCACCCCCTGGTAATAGTGTATATTATACTGTGCAGCATAAGCTAATTTTATATATCGATATGTTGAAAAATTATATCGTATTCATCCCACACGATCAGCGGGAATGTGCATACGCGGCGTATTGCAGTGAAGTCAGCACTACGGATTTTATTAATAATATTAAATATATATACATATATTATATAATATATAGAATTTAGTTATCCACCACCATCTTCAATGTTTTTCGCATAAGAAGGTTTTTAGAGCTCGAAAGTGTTTAACGTCTTAATAACAGTTTTAGTCCTGCTCACTATACTATATACTATAAATGTAAAATGTATATACTTTATATACCATAGTATATATACCATAGTATTCTATATACATGTATGATACTACACTATATAGTATACACGTATGATGTATATAATAGAGTATAATATATACTATAGTATAAAATATCATATGATCCCGATTTACTGCTACTAAATTGTCTATTATTAATAAATTAATTTGTAACATATTCTACGGGCGTATATAACGCGAATAATGTGATACATGCACACAATATTATGCGATATCTACATGGAAATATCAGCTTATACTCTCATCATATTAGCTACTGTACATGACATATTATTATTATTGTACTCATCTTCGGTATACAGGCTCCATGGCTAAGTTGGTTTAAGCACCGAATACTCAAATATTAATACTAACATAGGCGGGAGCAGACTTTTGATTCCGGGGGTGAACACTAAAAATTTGGGCTGTGAGAAAAATACAGTCCGGGAAAATCATAATTTTAGAGGCCCTCAGTCTCTTTATAGACTATAAACACAGATATAATATCATTATAGACTATAGACACAGACTAATAACACAAATTAAATATAAACGTATATAACGTTATACGTATAACGGCGACTCGCACAAAAATAATACAAAATTAATTACCACAGTGAAAAATTATCCATTTGTCATTATGAAGAGTGGCCGGGACTGTCAGCGTACGGAGAAGCCAGTAGGTAAAGACAATATATACATCATTATAGTTAATTCATAATGGTAAGATAATGAATAAATTCGTATTAGTAAACCGGTATACCTACTGGCATTTGCATACCTACTGAAGGTATATACTAATAAACTATGATTATTAAGATTCTGAGTAAAAGTGTGAAACTAGTAATTATTGATGCTGTGTTTTCGTTAAAATGTCTGATACCTACAAAATAACTGCTATAAGATTATCAATCAACGTACGATATATTATACCTATATATTAAAAATTATGTTAATATTGTATAATATTATATATTATAATATTAACCAAGAATGTCCAAGATGGTTATACATTTGTTTATGTTTAAAAAAAGATTTTTTTTTCTTTTATAAAATGTTTAATTAAATACAATTTTTTAATGGCCTAAATTGTGTACCTTTATCAGAATAAAAGATTTTATATTTCACCATAAAAATCTATTATAGGTGATGCGCATAGAACAAAAACAGCATAAGTATTTTTAATTTTTATACAAGACAGGTAATTAAAGTTTTGATTATTTTTCAACATTTTTTTTTCTACTTATAAAATCCACTCAAAGGAAAATCATAAGCTCACTTTTTATTTATAAATTATTGCCTTTCAAGCCATCTATAAAGCATTAACCCAATTAAGGTTGGTTAAGTTTTAATGTGGTAATTCATTACTCAAATTTTAAATAAATATTTAGGTAAATGCTATCGGAGGTGGGTCCGACTCGTTAAAAATGTGTTAATCACGTAAATATGAACATTTTTGTATGTAGTATATTAGTATAAACTTGGTTACACCACAGAGCACAGTCCACAGAATATATTAATTATAATAGATTATTATGTGTTTAAAAGTCAATAAGTATGTAGCATGTTTGTGACTTTAGTTCCAGTTATTATAAAACAATTGTAGGGAATAATATTATATTTTCAATCTTGGTCTATGATTGGGCGTAATTTTAATATTTTCCCCGGGCCTAAAAAATCTTAGTTCCACCTCTGAGTATACATGTCATCCAGCGTGGCTCGAAGCTAAGTAAAAAAAAAAAGCGGAGAGGTCACTACCATATTATATTACACGAGCCAGAGTTTGTCCATTGAATATGTGTAAATTTGTCCATTTTCGTTAGCCAGGGTTACAGACCTAATTAATGGATGGATTTGTCCGTTTGTGGTATCAATAGATCGGGCATGATGTACAGATAATACCTTTGTCATTTTTGAGAAAACAATTTTGAATAATGCCGATATTATAATATTATATTAGCAAAAATGTGAAGTAGTTCTGATACAAAAAGATATTGTACCAGATCGTTTTAGTTATAAAGGTTCACATAGCGTAACCGTATTACCCACTCTATGCCGTATACGTTTTCGTCGCTGTCGTACACAGTACACTATGTATTACGTGTAATTGTTCTATTCCATTGTTGTAGTGGGCCGTGTAGATCGTCGGCAATTAATATTTACTAAAATTTTTAAAATGGTTTATAAAGCGTATAAACAGAAAATACGAAAAAAGAAAAAATATTTGAAAAAAAAAACAAATACCATATGACGTATGGTTGAAATTTCAAAAAATAAGTCCATCACCATAACAAAAAAAAAATAATTGTAAAAAATCAAAAAACAATTTCCATTTTATGGAAGCATAAAAAAATGAATTAATCAATTGATGGGTTAATTAAATATGTCACTTTATAAATCTAGAACTAATGTAGATAGGATTTCGAAGTGGGTTCTTAAATACAGAAAACAAAACGTGATTATTTATCAAAAGACATTAAAAAACTAAAATAAGTAATAAAGAAGAATATTAACTAAACAGCTAGTATTCCAGATACTAATGATTAATGAACTAAACTATAATTTACTTAAATTTATCTTGGGCCAGTGTCTATCAATTTATTATTTAAGAAATGTAAATTGTATTTTGTTTGCCAAAATTTTGTTATTATTTATTTTTTGTGTGTTGTGTAGGTCTGTGTTAGAGACGTCTCCCACACAACATTTGGGAAATGATAATATTTTGTGAATGTCTTAAAGTGGTTGTATAATGAATATTTGACTAATTATATTTTATAAATATTTTCTTCTTATGATTAAAAAAAAAATGCTGTATGATTGCATAAAAATGTTGACTTAATATTTTTTTAAAGTTTCAGTAAAAATGTTTTTTGAAAATATATGATTAAAATATTTTGTAAATGTTTTTTATAAAATATTTTCAGATATATAAGCTTTTGGGCCAAAGAATATAACTAAAATATTTAATAATTATTTACGCAACTTTTTTAAATAATTTGACAACTATATTATTTTCCTGAAAATATTTTTACCATAGTCACTCCGACGGCTACATAGAGATTATTCCGACCGAACAGTGCCGTGCGGGTTGAAATACAAAGTATTGTATAGCTGATGTTAGTTTCATAGACGTAATAAAATATTTAGTAGAATAAATATTAATTATTTTAGTTTACTAATTTAAGATGTAAATTGTCGGAATATCTAAAATCGTGGTGGAATCTAATATTAGAATTATTAGATGCTTATTAGGAGAGAACGCTGTTTATGGACCTTCTTTTCGTAGCTACGTACTAATCGTACTATTTTTAATATCATCACTATTAATTACATAATATATTAACATGTTATAGCCGCTGAGGCACCAAGCTGGCCGCATACGATATTGTCATGTACCATATTGCAGCAGTGGCGCCGAGTTCAGTAAAATAAGGTGGTTCAATTATTGTAAACAAAGCTTAAAAATGTATTTATCATACAAAAACGAAAGAAAATATTTAAAACACAAAGCCATATTAATAAATTAATAATAATATTAATAAACAAATTAGTAGAAATTAATATTTTTGTGTGTATTAATAGTTCTCTTTGATTACTCGGGCAGATGAGGTAAAATATTGAATCAAATCGTCGTATGTACATGGGCCTCGATTAAAGAAACTATATCTTAAAAAATATTCCAAAACTACAATACTGTTTTGACGAACATTTCAGAGATTATTCTTAGAGATATCATAAACGTTTTGAGAGTAATTTTAATTACGTTAAAAATAATATACCAAATGCTACATCCAATCAATGACTTGTGGTTAAACGTATATATGTCAAATTATTTCATAAATAGTGATGTACCTGCGCCGATTTACTATTGAAATGAGGTACACTAAAACTGAGATACATCCAGTATAATCGGCCAATACAGCTATATAGTACAAGTATAAATGTTAATACATAAATATGGAAACATTATTTTAAAATTTATGATTCACAAAAAACAAATAAAATTCAATATTTCATGTTAAAATAAAGTTAATTCAAAATTAATTTAAATGTTCGATAGTACATAATAATATGTAGTACTCGCAAGCCCGTATTAAGGATCAATTAGGCCCCGGGACAGCATACACTTAGTGGGCCCTCTTTCAACTTTAACTTCAAAATAATTGTATCATTACATATTAACGACTTTATATTATTGTATAATTTTTTACTATACAAAAAATACACAGGGTGTATCTTATATCATTGTACGCGGTTTCTTTTTAACAATTATTATGAATCAATGAAATGGAATTTTGTTAAAACAAAAAAAAGACGTGTTTCTTTATTTTTAACCGGAGATTTTTTTATAACATTTTTAAACAAGCAGTTGTGCCTACCAATAATAAAATCGTTTTACCAATGTATTTTTTTATGGATTCTGGAAAAGCATTTTTTCTGAACATTTTTACAGTCAAGTGATCAATTTTGGTTCGCCAGGACGCTAGGTTATTAACTATGGCCCTCTTAAGTTTTGTATAATAATATGCATTAATACTGTTAACAGAAATACCTAATTTACAAGAGCTAAATAATTTTTGCTTATAACTACCTTTTTTATGTTTATCCTTATATAATAGTTAAATCGATAATCTAAAATGATCAAAAAAACAAAATTGTTGACAAACATAGTTCATTATTTATAGCTATTTTTTGTAATAAAAAATTGAGAACAATTTTATTTTATAATTATTAATAATAATTTACATACTATATACATTTACCTACCTACCTATAATATTTTTTTTTTTTTTTTAACTTTATTGGATGCGCTATAAAAATATATTTTGGGGATAAACATGGGCCCCGGGACCGAGCCAACCTTACCACCCCTTTAATCCGGGATTGAGAACTCGCAATCTTATCTATAACCTGATTTGCATCAATATCAGACTCATAGGAAATTATGGGAGTGCGTATAAACCTGGAATGCAAAAACCTGGATGTTTCAGATCTGGACGGTACAATTCTGGAACGTAAAAACTTGAACGGTAGAAATCTGGAATATAAAATTTTGAAATCCGTAAAAATCTGGATGGTACAAAACCGGACTGTTAAATTCTGAACTGTACAGAATTGGACAGTAAAAATCTGGACAGTACAAATCTGGAATATAAAATTATGAAATCCGTAAAAATCTGAACGGTACAAAACTGGACCGCAAAAATCTGGACAGTACAAATCTGGAATATAAAATTTTTAAATCCGTAAAATTCTATAAGGAAAATTCTTTCTTAGTGCGCACCTACGTGGTAGTGTGAAGGTAAGATAAACATTTTAAGTCTCCATCTATCATAGTTTAGGCTCTACGTTGATCAGTCAGTCAGTAAAAAAGGCACTTTTAGTTTTTCCCAAAATGTCCAATTTCCCATGAATTTTATTTTAAATTTTTCTTTCCGTAAAAACACTATTAAATAGTGTCCAAATTTTGGACTATCAGGTACATTATTTTTAAATAATGAGCCAAATCGATCCAGCTCTTCTCAAGCTGTGCGATTACAAACGAACAATATTTCATTTTTATTTATACATTATAGATATAGTCATTTAGATTATTTTTACAATTTTATTGCTTTTGTCATTTTTCTAAGACATAGTTATTAATCGTATTATACATGAAAACATTTAAAACATTCCCCGAGACCCAGCCAATATTGTGATAGTTAGGTAAGTCAAAACTAATATTCAAACTAAATATTACATACAACAAAATAAAAAATGGGCTTCTATTATATAATATAATAATGGATAATGGATTGATCTAATAATAAATCGGTGTAACAATGCTATTTTGCAGAGTTGAATATTTAGATAGGACGTACCTACATATTACGTAAAAATATTGTCACCTCCTAATATACCCAGGAGGGCTATTACTCCCGAACCACCCCTTTGAGCCTTGAGGTACCTACCTACTTTTTAAATTAATTTATTACTACATTCATCTTATTTTATCTTGTATATATTATCTTGATTTAGTAAGATAATATATATAATGTATGAATCATGAACGTGTGATCCTTTTTTTGTAAGTCGAGGTTATTACCAACATTTTTGAATCTGAGTGGAGCAAGGTGGTACTTTTGATAGGTAAAAATTGAAAATTCCCAGTACTTTTATTAATAACAATCGTATAATAGAAAAAAAAATTAATGGAAAACGGGAATTTCCTACCAGTTTTCGACAAAATTGATACCTAGGTATTGTTTTTTTAGGTAGTCACAAAAATTTGCATATTATTTTTAATAAGAAATTCATAAAACATTTCTTTTTATATCTAACGTTTAAAAAATGTGTTAAGTGGATGTCGCTCTGTCTTACAGTATGTTACAAGCGAATCTGAGCGGAGACACTTTGTCAGTGTCACCTTGGTAGGCAATGTTGAAAATTCCATTATAATGCATGCTTTGTTGAAAACCGATTTTGTGTAAAAATACCCGTTTTTCTAAATTTATATTTTGTTTTTCTCTACACTTTTGAAAACTATTAGACATTTTTTACTCTTGAATCCCCTAAGTACCAACTAGATTCACTTTACTATTAGAAAAGATACTGTTGAAGAAAATCGAAGCATTATTTCGATTACTTATCGTGTAAAAAGACACAGAAAAAAAAAAATAAAAAAACTCACATCATTGTAAAATCAATACATTCATCGTTTCACTCAGAATCTAAAATAACTCGCCATATAATGCGAAAAGAAATTAGCATACATTTTATTTAGCTTATTTATTGGTTTTAGATATTTTAATTTGAAAAGTTTGTACTGTGTTTTCATTCCAATAAAGTAACTGTATAAAAACCTACAGACATTTGATCATTTTATAATAATAATATAATAATGACAAAAATTGAAATCTAATTAGTCATAATCCTTCATTGAAAGTTGTAGGTAGTATGAAAATAAGCAATACCACAGGGGCCTGAATGTTCTGGTAACAAAATCTGCAATTCTCATGAAAATTGTGATTTTGATTTCAACTATATTATCATGGGTTAGCAATCTTTTTTATTATTTCTAGGTACCTGTAACCTGTGGTGATTATGAAAATATAATTATGAAATCTAATTAATATTTGACTCCCAATATTTTATTATAAGAAAATAATATAAAAAAATATTCAAAATATTTAAATTTTTCAACTAAGATACGATAGGTACTATCTTAGTTCATAATTCTAATTTATAATCAAACATTTACAACTAAAAACTATATGGTTATAATAACCTTGCAGGGGATGCCATGGCATACCTGGCATCCCCCCTGCTAACCTATGCTACCGTTCATTTTCAAACAGTAAACTCTGTGTTTCAATTTTATTGTTATTGTGTTAAGAATTGAATATCAACTAAAATATTTTACTATATGCCAATATATACCAGACATAGTAAATAATATTGTAATATTGTAAAATTAGAGAAAATATTTTTAAAAAATCCACGTTACTGTACTTACAGTAAATGTCGATTGTCGATTGTCGAGTGTATCTCGTCATTGATCAAGTAGGTACTGTAGTTGACTAATAAATGTGTTAAATTTGAATTCAAAGATAAATCATTACGATAAAAAAACAACGATACAGAGTGGAGACAGGCCAGCCTATATCATCAAGTATATTTTAATATATATTTATTTATTAGTAATTAGTTATAACTAATAATATACGGTAGGTGAGTTGAATTATTTTTTGCGGAATACATCGTATTTAGTTTATAGGTAATTAATTATTATAGTAGCATGTATTTATTAAAATAATTATAATATATACCTATATCATATTATACATAATGCTTTATACCAATATTATTGTTATTCATTTTTTTAGTCAATACCAACTATAACCATAGAACATTGTGAATAGGATCATGGTATAAATTGGCAACAGCTTAAAATGTATCTAAATATTTTGACAGGTTATGCCATGATATACATTAAAATATACCAATATATTAATATAGGTACTTACATCCAACTGTAAACTTAATAATACATAAATTGCAAGGATGCTACCCTGCAGGGTGCCTTGAAGAATTTCGCAGCACACTTTAGTGCTGAGGCACAGCGTTCGAGTATCCCTGTGACTATAGGTTCTCAAATCTCGAATGGTTTAAATTTAAAAAATGTATACTTATACAGGTACCTATACAAATTAACAAATTATAAAACGATAAACACTTAGTGTTTAGGTACCTTTAAACTCGTTTGAATTAATTATTGATAACGATTTGACAAAAAAAAAGAAATAATGTTTACATAAAATAATATTATAATATTCTATATGACGTATATCGGCTGTCTGAAAAAAAATTTCTATTTCATATCATTCGCTGCAACCAATCAGGAATATCTATAATACAGGTTTATTTTGTTGGTGAATAAAAACAACATCGTAATATATTATAAGTATAATAAGCGTATAATGATGTATTAATTATTATTATATAATAAATCCTATGTCGGTTCAGCTTTAATCAATTATGATAGATTTACCGGAATGATTATCCACCATTTCTGGCTACAATAGAACAATGTACAGTTGATGCAAATACATAGTTTATGTCTGTATAGTACCTAAGGTTGGAATTTCGATAATCTTGATGACTTTAACTATAGTTTCTTAGAATGTACGGGTACAAGTATTGGTTTTTGTGACGACGGTAGTGGTCCCGGGGGTCGGGATGATGTCGGTAGTGTTAGTGATGGTAGTGATGATCGTCGACTTGGTGGTCGTGGTCTCCTTGGTCATAGCGGAAGGGATGGTAGACTTGGAGTAGGTCATGGCGCTAATGGTGATGTCGTTTGTGACGCAGTTGGAGGTGGTGACCGAGGTTGTGGTGGCCTTGATCGTCGTGGTGATGGTAGTGGTAGTTGTCTCAGCCCGGGTTGTAACGATCGTCGTAGTTGTGGTTGTCGTGATCGTAGTCCTGGAAGCACCTCGGACCAGCGGACGTTGATGCAACTCTGGCTCTGACGGTGTTACGAACAGATACTCATTCACCGCTCGGAAGATTGCCAAGGTTCCATTCCTCAATCGTGTGGTGAATCCTCGACGCCAGTTACGTGGATCGGTTGAGTGGGTCTTGAGTTCCGATTTGGGCGATTTATCACGACGGCAGTTGTCCGACATGGTGTATGCTGGTAAAATGAATCTGATTTACTGCAACACAATCGACACGTCGGTCGTAATATTATTATGGTAATACCAAAACTCATCAAACGCTCTTATTATAATGAAATGACTCGTGTTAAGACTGTTACATAATATTTATATGACAAAAAACGTGAACCGATAAGCAGACGTGGTAGGTATATTATTATATTATTATTAATTATTAGGTATTTATAAAAAGGTTATTTATAAAAAGTAATGACAAGATAAACTGTCATGTAAACTGTATGGTAAACGTTATCTGCTAATATTAGAATTTTATCATCACAGAAAAAGATGCAGTTATAAATAAGTAGAAATGAAATAACTACCAATGAGCATTGAGGCCATTTCCCTTTAATCTCTTCAAAAGAAGAATAGAGTTTTTAGTGCATTGTTGGAGTTTTTGGATACAAAATTCAAATTTTAGATTGCATTTTAAGATTTAACACGAGTTTTATATAAATATATATATTTATTTTTTGTATAACAAACAATACAGTAGGAAATTACTCGTATCTCGTGTAATAGATACTCGTATTGGATAATACAATTGTATTATAAAAACTTAGATACTTAACCAGTTTACGATTTGTGGCGTGGCTAAGTATATTATTAATTAGAATCACAATAATATATCAATCTGTTTAATAATTTGTCAGAGCAATGAAATCGATACTGACATCATATTGTTCATTACATGTTTTGTGTCGTAAGTCGTAACACGTGTGCATGTAGTTTTTCAATTATTTCATTTAAAATTACAAAAGTAAAATGTTCATCGGTGAGTCGATTGTGTGTGTTAATACAAGAGATAGGCCAAATTAATTTGTTTACTGACGGAACGGTGTTATAGAACGAAGTTTAGCCTAGACAAATTATTTTAATCAGTTTTACTTCAATTTAATTAATTTAATGAAATATTATTTACAATTTATACAACATTTATTAAAAATAAAAACAATTTAACAGCATTTTTTTAGCACATTATTTAGAATTTTTAGGGCATTTAATAATTTTTTAAGGACATTTTTAGAGTTTTATAGTGCATTAAATTTCCAGCAGTAATTATAATCATTACCTATGAAACTACTGTGGGGATTAATATACACTGTAAATTTCTTTATTTGAGGGTTTGAGGGTAAGAGCAGGATGTGCTCGATCCTATATTTTTGTAAATTTTTACTACTTTGGCCTACCGAAAATAAAACGAAAGAGCCCATACGTGTTTTAAATCTGATATTGAGTTGTTATTTCACATATTGTGTTAAGTATTTTTTAACTTTTCTATTAAATATTTTATGGTATAATCTGCAGACAATCAGATCAACAGCTACAAAGAGAAAATTAACTTATTAATGGATATTTCAGTATCTAATATAATATTGCATTATAAAGAACAATACAGTTGTAGTAAAAAGATTATTTTTAAATGGCACAATGATATATCGTTTATACAAATAACGACCACAGTCCACACGACATTCACAAACAGTAATAATCGTTAAGTCGTGAGTCAATAAAAATCACAAAAAAAAATCACAAAAGAAGCTAACAATAATTACACTCCAATAGTTGCTTATATTAGTTCAAATCTTATCATCTGCCTATGACGTAATATTTCATACTCTGTACCTACTAATTACTAGCTACACACAATATACTGCTATAATATATTCATAATCATATATATATATATATATATTATATACAAGCATAATTACGATTTAAAAATGGTCTGATAACATTTTAGGACCAACAGCTGAAAAACGGAAATGACTCATCTGCTAGTCACCCAGCATACAAAACATAGTAAGTATTTTTGCGCTCGATTTCAAGTTGATTCACTTACCAACATATCAAATGTATGATAATATTTTGGTTTAATATAGTAATATTACGTTGGATTACGATTTTAAGCAGCGTCGTGAATTTGGCGAAATACAAAAAAGCCTAAAACCAAATCACTAAGCAGATTATATTTTTTAATTTTTACACATTCGAGGTAATTTGTTTTAACTGCTATCATAGAAAAATTGAATTGTAAAAACGAATATATCTCTTAAGACAAACATTAAACATGATCGTAATAATATATTGCAGTCACACCTATCAAACGCATAGTTAAAACATCGTTTACTTATTTATATATATAAAAAATAACACTCAAGGAAGATAATACCCAACACAAATACTTAAAAATTAAAATTAGGTATAGCTATATAAACAATTAAAAGACAAGTAGTAAATTCTGGTACTGGTGAGCCCCGAAAACTATATAGCCCCTCCACTCAAGTTTGTCTCGTAGCCGACCATAATAATAAATAAATCGTTCTAGTAATTCGATGGTTCTAGGGAAAAATATATCATTACTATTGGCCAGGGTTTGGAACTATCATATTATTATGTGTTTCATTGTTTGATGAGCCTTATTGTTAAATAATTTTGAATGATATATATTTGGCGGGCCCAAGAAAAGGGTTCCGGGGGAGGGGGTGGCGAGGGTTTCTGGTGCTTGCAATAGTCTATTTGTGTTGATCGTTTTACAGATTTAGGTATACTATTATTTCATGTATTAGGTATACAAATTAATGTGAGCTAATATTGTTAACACGAGTGTCCCATGTAAATTCCGGAAACTCTAATCTAAATAATTTCACAGGTACCAACACTTTTTTGAAATATTATTTTACAAATTAAAAAACGACTTTTATTCCTTGTGCCGGCTAATGCAGTTCTCGAATTGGGAACTATTAAGTAGAGGAGCTCAATCTAACTATTTATAAACTGCTTTCCAAATGAATTACTCAAGTTTTTTGTAATTATAGTGAGTTTCTAAAAAAAGACGAGTGAATGTCACTGATATCAAAACAATCATTTCCTTGCATTTAAATCAAATATCAATTGCATTAAATAGTTATTTCCCAAAATATATCCGTGACGTTTATCAATGGATTGAAAATCCTTTCACTATTTTTATTGAAGCGTTGAACTTCAATGCGTTTCTTTGAACTCAGATTATCGAACTTTCTTGTGATAAAACTAATGAAACTCTTTTAGATTTTTTTTGTGCAGTATATATTAAATATCCAGAACTTTCAATTAATATGATAAAAAAACGAGTCAAAAAAGTTGAACACTACTAGTCAAAACAACAAAACCATATTATAAAGGATGAAAAATATTTTTTATATTAAAAAATGTAAAATTCATTAGGTATATCTTTGACAACAATTTAAATCTATTCCAAATTTTAATGAAAATTTAACCCCTCTAATTCGAGACTCTAAAGTATAAACTCTAAACGTATTACTATATGGTTGGTAGTCGCGATAACCGAAAAGTACCAAATATAATACTTTTATTAATCGAATAACAGCATCAAAACTTATTTTCGAAGGTGTATTATAATAATTGTATACTAATATTTGGCGAGATCGACGATAGTCGGTGTTTAAAACAAAAGTCTTAATTTTAAAGCTATTTAAGAATGCGTATTTAAAAAAATATCTAAAAACAATAAATTAGAAAATAAAACGTTTAAAAATACCTAAAATTCACAAACTCCAAAAGTAGATATTTTGGTATTATAAACAAATAAATAAATTTTATTTGTACAAGCTTGTTATATTCTAATCTTATATAATAAAGTATACATAATAATAAAAGTATATCATAACATTCGTAACAATTAATATTATGTTGATTGTAATAATAATGATTCTTATTAAATAATATTATCATACTTACGAGTGACGGAGGTGAAATGTCGAAGTTTCACTTCGGAGTGCTTGAGAACCAAAAATGGAAAACCGAATAAGCCAGCTACCGTCGAGTACCACGTACGGAGATCACGTTCTGCGTCTGGATGAAACGTTTGCTTGCGCCACGGTCTGAGGGGACAACAATTAGTTCATAGGCGCATGCGTGTACAAGTGTGATTATGTCGCTAATTTCTGGCACCTTTGGGACAATAATATGACAAAGGCACATCAGGGTCCGGTATAACACAATAATATTAATTATTATAATACCTAATAGATTAGTCCATACAATATAATACCATCGGTGTCGGTTGTAAATAATTATTTTTCTAGTTGGTACTTTGCACGAGCTCTTAGTTCCTCGGTATAATACGAATTTTCATGTATTATTATAGGTGACGAATATACCGTGTATACTGTGAGGTAACAAAAAATAAAAGTGGGTAACCACGGCTCTGCTGTACAGTATGTGAAGGTGCGGGTGTGCCTCGTCGTTGAGGAGTAAGTCACTGCAGTGGCGTATCTATGGTGGTGTTGTAGTCGGGGAGAGGGGGTCATTATCTCGGTGACCAAATGTTGTACACAATTTAACATTTATAAAATAATATGAATATTAAATATATGTGTGTACTAGATTGGCATTCAAAATTGTTTTCTTTTTAGTTTCTTATTTTTTTAATTTGATCGTTAAATTATAAAGAAAATTAGGTATATTGTGAATACCTACTTACCTATTCTACTTTACACGATTATTAAATATTTAAACTATACCAACACATCCCAATTAATAATTTATGAAATATAACTTATATCAATTAAAGGTCAGATAATAATATGATGCCTATCTAATCTAATAAAATGTATCTATTTGTAAAATTATCTTACAATAAATGGCTTGGCGTATATAACAGATACATTTCGGTTTCCTATTCCCAAACCGTCCAAATTTCAACACCTCTGGTAAAAGCTTATTTAAATTCTACGTTTGGTGATCACGATAACGAGTACCTACTGCACAAAAGGATAATTTAACAAAGCACCATATTATTTATACTCTATAACTCTAAAGTCGCTTTACTCTCGAATAACTGACCACGATAACTATTAACTAGTATCTACTGGATGTTTGAAGGTGAGATCTCTTTAACCTAGATAAAACCTTACTCTTTATCGACTGACCACGATAACGAGTACTGGAAGGGAAAGTGGAACAAG